TATGTTAAAAAAAAAAAAAATTACTCATAAAAAAAAAAAAATGTACCCTCAAAAAATTGAATTGGGATAAGGGACTGAACTGGTACACTCCCCCTAAATCCGTCCTTGCGTCGTAATATATTAAATTTTCCCCGTATCTTTCTTATACACATCAGCATGACCTCCATATTACACAGTCAAATGAATGTATCTACGATCCTTCTTGGTATATAGATAGTAAAACTATTTCGTGATAGTTCATAGGAATAGCTCTCATAGCTAGCAATGAGAATGTCAAGAAAATCTCGATATTGACTTTATACAGGTTCAATAAATTTATTGAACATGAATTATAATACCATCTAACAAATAAATATAATTTCTCAGTTCTTAACAAGAAGGTAAAATTGACGTGCTCTCACGAGGAAGGTGTTAAACACTGAAATACTCTTGGTGCCGTTACTAAGAGTGCCAGTGCAACACCGAGAATTGGTTAAACGTTCAAATAGCTATTAAATCTTGCACGGTGTTTTTCATGGGCTATCAAATTTTAATAGTTTTTTGGATGGTTAGCAAACTTATCAAATCGTTATTCCATTAGCCATTAAATTTTAAAAACTTTCCGGATGATCATCAAACTTATCAAATTGTTATTCCCATTGATTATCAAATTTTAAAAGTTTTTCGGATAGTCACCGAACTTATAAATTGTTATCCCATCCATCACTCAATTACTCACCGTTAGAAAACTCGACAAACTCGCTAACATGATAAATAAAAATACTAACATGGCACATTATTGTTGTTATTTGACAAGAAATCAGTCAAAAACGTGCTTTCATATATTAAAAGCGTTTATAAAAAATGCGACTAAATTTTAACCTCTGCTTGTTTTCTTTTGCTTATATGTATTTTCATTTAGTATTTCTTTTTATTGCTTTTTCTTGTTAGTTGCATTTTTTATAAGCGCGTTTTGCTAATTTGTCATGAACTAATGACAATAATGTACCATGCCATCGTATCCATTTGCCACGTCAATGGGTTCGTTGAATTCTTAACAGTGAGTTATTGAATGATGAATGTGATAATGATTTTGATAAGTTCATTCGTAAAACTTTTAAAGTCTAATAGTCAATTAGGATAACGATTCGATAAGTTCAACAATCGAAATTTTTTTAAAGTTTAATGATCAATGGGATAATGATTTGATAAATTCGGTGACTATTTGAAAAATTTTAAAGTTTAATAATCAATGAAAAATATTGTGTAAAATTCTGAATTTTAATTCTCAGGAGTCTTGCTTCGAGTTTAAGCAGAGAAATCAATCCTTTAGTGGTGCCACCTAACCCACTTCCCTGTATTTCTTGATCTTTGGTGGTGCCACCAATAAATTAGTTTTTCCACTATGATGACATCAAGAATCACAAGCCAATAGAATCCCATCCAAGCCAAGCCAAGCCAAGCCAAACTACCCTTTAAGTATAGGAGAATTTAGAATCTATAGGATGCTACATGAACAGTATAAATTTTCACGTCAAATATCTATGTTATATGAAGCCTCTGTTTATAATGTCAATAATTAAGGTGTGTGATACATGATGTCATTAATAATTATTCAAGATGGTCAATGAGGTGAGAGTCACTTATATGCACTCCACGTAGAGCACCACATGATATGCCGTCTACTTCTACAGGCTGTCTATCACTATGAGGCTCTCTACGTTCACATAGGTCGTCTACCACTATGAGACCGTCTACCATTATAAGGCCGTCGATCCTCATGAGGTCGTCTACCACCATGATACCGTCTACCCCCATGAGGTCGTCTACTACCATGAGGCCGTTTACCGCTGTAAGGCCGTCGACCCCCATGAGGTCTTCTACCACCATGAGTCCGTCTACCACCATGAGGAGGCCCTCTACGTTCACATAGACCGTCTAACACTATGAAGCAATCGATCCCATGAGACCGTCTACCACCATGAGACCCTCTACGTCTACACATGTCGTCTACCATTATGAGGCCAACGCTACACTTAACCATACAAATGGCAATGAGTTGGATAGGAACTGCTCAACGGCAAACGTGAGTACAACCAACCCCTTGAGGAGTGGGGGTCATTCCACCAGAACGTGGGAGAAGTGGGGAGGTTTTCGTGGGATATGTGGCACCATTAATTGCCGAACGCATGCGTAGCAACAGGTGCCTATAAATACCTCCAATGTGAGAAAGGTATGGACTCTTGAAACCTGAACTGCTTGAATTAGCATTATACTATCTTCCTGCTCCTCAAAATCGATCACTGATTCTCATGTCTGAAGTACAATGTGGGAGAAAACCCCGACCTCATTTTGCAGGTAGCAACCATTGACTGGAGTAACCGGAACACCACACCCCGTTAAGGTGAGCACGAAGGACAATCTCGCAACTATTTCAGTGTGTTACTATTTATATGTCAAATGTTGGTCCCAAAGTTCACAAAGAACACAAAAACAGAATAATATCGCGAGAAA